TATTTACATCCCATAATAGCTCACCATACAAAATATGCAAGAATGGCTTTTCTGAGAATTGACTCCATTTCTTCTCAAGCCAAGTAAGTCAGTTTTATGCTAGAAGAGCATGCATTTAAAATGAAGAGATAGGCTATACCTCCTGCTAACACAGTAGAGGCTGATAATTTTTGATGAACAGCACATGGGGCTGCAGAAAAAGGAATGATAATTTAGATGCAAGTGGAGATACTCCTTCCTCACTCCAGGATACCTCTCCCTCCTTCCTCATATATTCTCCCTTCTCTCTTGCTATCGCTGTTTAATTGTTAGCATTTTTCTATCCTATGTGTTTGTCTGGAGTGCTTTGAATTCTTTCTCTGCTTTAGCCATTATTATAAGCCTACACTTCAATCTCATGTGAAGCTTATGGGAACAAACCCCATGGGTAATGGAAAAGGAACCAACTGCTGTGATTCTGGTTGCATGTGCTCAAGCATATGTTAACCTACATGAAGATTTTTCAGGCTTGTTTCTAAGTAATTTGGGCAACAGACTAATGTATGTGTTCAGCTAACCTGTCTGGTATCTTCATCCTTCTCATGTTTTGAACTGTGCCGTCAATACTCTGAGTAATGGTAAACAAGAATATCCTAATCCAAAGTAGACTTTTTTTTTTGTGCACATTGGGATATGAGATACTACATATATTAGTCTTTCAAAGATAAAACATTAAATTTGGAGTGGTGCTGCAGAGCTGCTGTATGCAGATGTGTATTGAAGTACAAAAACTTCCCAGTTGTATCTGAGTATTTGTTTTTCTTCTCTGTTTTGACTGCTTTTTCTTGTGCATTACACCCTGACTTGAAGTTTCTCAGGAATTCTTGAAACTTACTTTTTTTCAGAAAGCAGTCCCTTCCCTGAAATAGTGCCTTACTGAAAGTGTGGAAGTCTGGGTTTGCTGCATGTAAGAGCAGGGCTGTTTGTTTCCACTCATTTCCTCCTGTAAATAGTTCCTGCAAAAGCAATCTTTGCACTGCAAAACCCATCTCCCCAGTCTTCCTCTTTATTCATTTCCTAGGACTTGGAAATACTGCCAAATAGTAGACTGAGAAACTTTCAATCTTCGCATTCTTGCAAGGCTAGTCAAGGTAGCAGTGGAGTGTTGGAGGCATGCTCCAGGCAGATCGGATCTCTTACAGAATACCCACAGCTGTTATAAGAACATAAGGAAGAGTTACTTAACAAGTTTCACGACTAAAGGGGAAGCATTCATTGAAAATGTCTTGTAATTTATTTTGTAAAGAGTTAAATAGATACACCGGCGACTGGAAGACTGAGGTTTTTCCGCTGTCAGTTGAAAGATACAGCGCATTGTAGGCTGTTCGTGCTACTCAGATGTGCAATGTATGGCATGCTTTTTAACAACAAGTCCAATAGCAGGGAAAGCTTTTTAAACCATAATCTGATAGTGCTTTTATAGAATGTGTGGGTTTTTTCCATTTTATTTCTTTATTCTTTACTAATTGGGTTTTTTATTTGGTTTTGGTTTTTTTTTTAATTTTAAGTTCTAAGTGTCATGACTGACATCAGTTGGTGAATTTCTCAGCAGGGTAGAGGCACATTTAATTATATCTGACTGTCACTGAATCATGTCCCTCAAACACTTAGCTCATTCTTTTTTAAGTAACAAATTATAATTAAACCATTGACAGCAGGAGTTTGTAATTTGTGTGGAATTAAGATAGGAATGTAATGATTCTTGGGACTAGAAAGTTTAGCAGGTTGGGTTGTTTTTTTTTTTTAATTTTCGAACTGTAACTCTTAAAATGCCCTGAATTGTGGTACACTGTATCGACGATATCTTGCTTTAGGAATCTATGTTGGAATAGTTTATTTTTTAAAAATTTTTGAATAGCTACCTAAGTAGATTTAAAATATTTGAATTTTTGAATGTAAATATTTTTTGATTGTTGAAGTAGAAGCTATAGATGTTTCCTTTCTCTATTTAGGCAGTCCAATGAAAAGAAACTTTGGCCGTAACTGATTTCAAGCTTGGGGAGCAAAACCATCTTGTACTTACTCTGAGGCTTGAAAAAGCCTAGTTAGAAATACCTTCTTTAGATAAGCCTGGTTTTCTCCACGGGTATGGAAAGGCAGGTGAGGACACAGCTCTTTGAGAGAGGTGAGCTTTCTGTTCCTCGTGCACAGCAGAGAGTGGAAGTGGCAAAACCAAAGATTGTTGAAGAAGGGGAGACTCAGCCTAGAACGAGTGAGATGGTGGCTGGCTAATGTGAAAGAGAGAATTTACATACCAAACCTGATCACAAACTTGATTTTTCTTTTTTTTTTCTTTTTTTAAAATTTTTTTTCTTTTTTTCTTTTTTTTTCTTCTTTTTTTTTTTCTTTTTTTTAGGATCAGCATAGCTAGTGTAATAGTCCAGAACGTGGACTTTTCAGTTATGAAGCTTAGAGTTAGTGTACAAATGTTTTTTGTTCTTTTTTTTTTTTATTTATCTTTGGAGCAGAGAGGGTTAGACTACTTGCTGACTGCAAAGCTAATATAATCAGAAAGGAGTGAAAGCTTTATTACAGAAAGTTTACACACAATTCTTTTTTATACCTTAGTAAAAATAAGCAAGGATTTCTTTTACATGCTGCTATATGCTAGAATACTAGTATTAATTATAAAATGGTTAGTAAATACAAGTTTCCCAGTACATATTGCCAAGCACATTTTACAGTATTGAACATGTAGCAAGTGACAAAGCTTTAAGGCAATAAAATTTGCTTGGTAGTAATAATACCATGTATGGTATACATGTAGAATCTCTTAATATAAAGGAATTATTTTCTAAGAGTGTACTGTCTCTCAAGATCCTTTTCTTAAACTATACTTGGTTTGTTTCACCCTTTGATCCTATGAAGTTTACCAAATTGAAAGAAAATTCAATTAAACACTTGCCTTTGGCTAGTCAAAATATTGACCTTTAAATGGGAAGGTGTCAACATTTATCTGAAAACCTTGGATGGAGAGGAGCAGTCCTTCCTGCATTTGTTTCCAAGGAATTATCCGAAGTGAAGTATTACATTTTCATTATCTCGATGCTACTACCAAACAGCAAAGCTCTATCTACTAAGGTGTTCTGGCGAATCTTACACTGTACAATGTCACTACATCTTAATACAGTTTTAGTGGGTAAACTCAATAGTTTTTTTCTCAGCTGATGATGAACTGATGTAAGATTGTGTGAATGATTGTCGTCATTCTTTGTTTTCTCATTTTCAAAAATTTGTTTGGCTGATTTCATATCTTCCACAACAAATTTTCTCGCTTCTAATTCAGGGGTGTTTTTTTGTCATTATGTGTTTGCTGGGCATCTTTATTCCAGAACTTTGTGTGAGTACATCTGTAAAGAAGGTATTGAGAAAGAAGCAGAGTCCAAAGATGCGATGATAAAAGGGATAGGGAAGAAAGAGCTGGGGATGGTGTTGTGTATTGCTAAGAAATTAGGCTTTTTGGCTCCCTCCAGTAAGCCTACCTCCACTCCACAGAGCTACTGTTTACAGTCTGGATCCCCAGCTTTTATACAGTTTTTCTTGTGCTAGGCAACAGTTCTCGTCCAATTATGCCTCCCCTGTCAACTGGAGAAGGAAGCCTTTTAACAGTACTGCTAACACCCTGATAGAAGCTCCTTTGGTATTTAGTTAAGTCTTTGTGACAGAGACTCATTTTTTTGACAGTATTTTGAAAAGGGACTTGTTTAATAGACATTTCTTTTGAGATAAATGCCAATCAAGGTAGTGCATTTTCAATTAATAATATACCAAATAGTTAAAAACGTGTTCTTTTTAGAACTTCAGAGTGCTTCTTATTGCAGCTGTGTAGCTGAAATGAATGCAGGTTAGCTAGTTGAAAGTGGAATTTGGTAAGTTTACAGATTCTTAAAAGAATTCTGCTTGTACAACATTTGTGATTATTTGTGGAGGCCACATTTGTACTACCCACATTTTCAAAACTTGTTTAAAATTGAACAAATGTATAGCGTCATGGTGTGCGGAAGCTAAGAATCTGTTTGGGGCTGTTGAGTGATAACATGGGAAAATGTTCCTTAAGTCAGTAACAAAGGGAGACGGTATGCTGTAGCTGTTGAAGAAATGAAGAAATTTCTTCTAGTCAAACAGGAATTTGTACTACTAGACATATGTTATAGCTACACCCAAACCCCATGTAAACAGAAAATTAAAAGTGCACAGTTAACATCAAAGAAACAGGAAACGATACACTAAAAGCCACTGTGCAGTTTAATTTTTTTCTCCTGTGGACATGTGCATTGAGATGTTGCCTTTCTTTTTTTTAATACGAGGGGTTTTGGTGGAATATATATCTTTTTCTCTTACTCTTGATCTCTCTCTCCCTGATGATTACTTCTGTTCATAGGAGCTAGTATGTGAGATCTCTGACAAGGCCAGTTTTCCTTTTCAGGCCTAGAGTGACTTGTGTGTATTTCCACACCAGTGACAGGTGTTCCTGGCAGTTGTGACCAAGAGTATTTTGATGATTGCAATGTCTGGAAGACTGGTTGATGTTTTGTCACTCTAGTATTTAGAGTCATGCAACAATTTCTGTTGGAAGGGACCTCTGCAGAGTGCCTGGCTCAAACCCTGCTCGCTTGCTGCACGCGTATGTGTGAAGGAATGGCAGCACTCTTGGAGCTCTGTGGATGACGTAGCTTCCTGCCTTTTGATCTTGTCGTCAAAGATCTTTGCTACCAACCGTAGCAAACCCAACACTTCCGTTTTTCTATTATTTTTGCCCTTCTTGAATCCTATCTTAGGAACATTCCTCAACATAAAACGTTTCAGACACATGCCATCTCATTCCTGAAGACATTAAAAGTAACCTACATTTGCATATAGAACTTGGGAAATGTCTTCTGCATATTATAAAGAATTTTGCCTTTTGTTAGATTACATACGGTTGTAAAATCTTAGTTTTTCAAGTTTTATTTCTTTACAGGCCAGAAGCAAAATTTGGATGAAGCGATCCAACTGAGTTGCCGTCATGAGCAGAAGCAAGCGTGACAACAATTTCTACAGTGTTGAAATTGGAGACTCTACTTTCACTGTATTGAAACGGTATCAAAACTTAAAACCAATAGGATCAGGAGCACAAGGGATAGTGTGGTAAGGTTTCTTTAAAATTTGAATGTGCTTTTAGGTTCCCTTGAGAGAATTTTCTGAGTCCTTTAACTGTTGCATGTTACAGAGTAGGAGCATGGAGAACTACCTTCCACATGCAAAATGGCAATAGTAATAGTTAACCTTTTTCCCTCAGCAAGGGCTGTTGCTGTTGCTTTTTGACCTATGTCCTTTTCTGCTTCTGAACTGATGCCCTTCTGTGCAAATTCAGCCAGCTGTGCTGAGTCCCATAAATCAATGGGGGGTGAAAAACCTGGATAAAGAAACTAATCCTAATCCTAAACCACACTGCTTACAGTGAAACAAAAGCCAGAAATACTCTCTGTGTAATATCTGATGCTTGTAAATGCTTTTACTTCTTGAAATGGTTTGTTAGGGGCCTGTTGCACTTAGTTCCATAATCTAAGTAGTCCCTGATACCAGTTAGTGAGCATTTGTGATGCTGCCTATCATTGTAATATGTAAATACCTGATGCAGTTTAGGAAAATATGATTTGACAATATAATTCACTGAATAAGAGTTCTGCTGTGTGGACTGAAGAG